AATGTGTATTTGGTAATTTAGTTTTTGCTTCTAGATTCTAATGTTGTTACAGTTATGAAGTCATTATTCAAAGCAGCTTCAAGGAACTTTCATGTTGTGTTGATTCTGGCAGCCCCTGTGGACACAAACATTACTGACATTAACGCCACTGCTTGCTGTTTGTGCACATCCATTTCAAATGTGTCTTCCTCGCCTTGTTAAGTTGTTAACAGGCCATATGGCCCACTTGCTATCATTATAGCCTTGGAGTTAAATCACCTCCACAGTATAACAGTAGACTCACTTTAACTCACATAGATCTTATCTTTTCTATATTTTTTCACTCATTTCAAGAACACTGATTCTGTGGCTCCATGTTTTAATAATCTGTCTTATTAAGATGAAAATATTTTGCAATGCAGCTCACCTCCAGTAACACACAGTGGAGACATGAGAAAAGTGAATCGCTTTAGTCCCGTGAGGTTGGCCTTAAAATTGAATTGCACCTCCAAGGACAAATGGGCCAAATATTCATGAATGAATCTGATGATGTCAGCAACTCTTTGGTGGAGCACTGTTTTAGGATGGCAGCATGCATGAGCATGTGTGTGTGTGAGTGTATGTGACATTGTGGAGGTGCCGCTGAGCTGAGTTGAATGGGTTCAGTTTGGCATCGGGGGGGACTTCAGTAAGGTAATGGGCTGAAACTCATTTTATTATCTCTATATCACACTCTTGACACTTTTCTTTCACTTTTCCTCCTCTTCCAACAGTTCTGCTGGATTTAAATCCTCACCGGAGAGCAGTGACAGTCCTGTCCTTCTTTCTCCTTCTGACTGTCTCCACTCCTCTATTATTCACATTTTTTCCCAGTCATTTTTTTCAGTGCAATTTCCACTATAATTTCTCAACTCATTTCACCCGAGAAGCTCCTTCATCTTCATTTGCATGACTCAACCATAAATATTCTTCTGCCCAACACACACTGGCACAAACATACAGTGTAATTAAATAGTTTCAGGGGCAGTTTGGGGGTTAGCTTTGAGAGGAGGCGAGGAAAAAGTGAGCGATAACACCACTTCAAAGCTGCTGCAGACTCGCTCATTCCCCTGCAGCTTCAGATGGATTAAGGCCACTTCAGGCCTGTTTGTACTCCATTAGCTCCCCTTCAGTTCCAGCACAAAAAACTCTGTTGGCCAAACGTTTCCTTTGAAACTCTCAACACACTATGGAAAACAGCCCATCAAGAAGAATAAGTGGTCACTACAAACTCATACTGAGTAATGGGAATTCACTTTACTTAGAAATATAGAAGTAATATAACATATTGATTAGTCCAATTTGATGTTATTGTGTCAAATCTTTTCTGTAATCCATTCTGTATTTCCAGCTCAGTTAATCTCAACCAAATCTTACATGGACCAAAGGAATTACTGTTAATGTGGACATATGACAATGTGCTACAACCTAAACTGTTGACAAAAAAAAGGTCAGACACACAAGATATATTTAGATTTATTTTAATTCCAAAACTTCATTGTACTACATTTGGGAGGATCTATTGGCAGAAATGGAATATAATATGCATAACTATGTTTTTATTTGTGTATAATCACCTGACTATAGTCATGTTTTTCTTACCTTGGAATGAGCCTTTCTGTCATGTTGAACCACCATGTTTCTACAGTAGCCCAGAAGGGACAAACCAAGATCTGGCTCTAGACAGTGGTGTTGATGTTTTTCTTAGTTACCGTAGTTTCTCCTTAGCACTTGGAAGGAAGGAGATAGTGAAGTGACGGAGTTTCGATATGCAAATACACTGCTAGACTAAATCCTACAGACTGAAGCTTGGTGGTAGGCCAGTATGAAGTGTGAGTTCAGAGGTTTAATCATTTTCCTTTGGAAGGGAGTCCGACTTTGAAGGTTCTCCCGCATGTTGATGAATGCCTGTTAGTTCACAGTCAGTTGTTTCCGAATTATTTTTATGTCAAACCATTATTTTTGTCTTTGTGTAAAACAAAACGTTCCACACAAACTAGCTAATATTTATTAGTCTACTGTAAGTTCAGACTTAAATAACTAAGCCTGTGAGATATTTTGTTTTATGTATGTGTTACTGTAAGAGTTAAAGGACCAGTGTGTAGGATTTAGTGGCATCTAGCAGTGACCTAGGAATGAGATCGGGCTGTGAAGTGTGTAGGACAAACTACGGTGGCTGTAAAACCAGAGAAAAATGCAAAAGGCCCTATCTATGGCCAGTGTTTAGTTTGTCCGTTCTGGGCTACTGTAGAAAGCATGCATGGAAGGCGACCAGCAGAGCAGATAAAAACAGCTCATTCTAAGGTAACGAGAACAGAACAATTCCTATTTGCGGGTGGT